GCTACTGCCAAAATAGACATATACCAAAACTATATATATTCTAAGATATAACACCAGTGTATTTCTATGAATGAAAACAACAAAAGCAACATTATAGTGTCATGTAGTGTTCTACTTTTTGTACATAAATTTTGTCCTTTTATACTTTGTACTTGAGAGAAGTAAATTTCTCAAATCCCTACCCTGTAGCCGTCATCAAGCTGAGATGAAATGTTTATTTTCCCAAACATGGCTAGTTGCAGTGCATTTTCCATGTGGATCACAGATTGTTCGTGCTTCTTTGCCTTTTCTAAAGAATGATTTAAATCAGTCATACCGATTCCCTGCATGTAGGAATCTCGACTGCATTATTTCTGAAGTGGGGGACTGCGTTCATTCTCTCCCCTCACTATGATGTTTAAAGAAACATTGCATGTCTCGACTTCTTCTTCCACTAATCTGCAAGGCATACACCCATCTTTGTGTACCTGCAAGTGCATGGAAAAACTTTAAAAAAAGTCATGTTATATTCATCAAGTATGCGTGACATGTGAACTGGAAATTGGTGTGGACATTGCAGTTCAGAGCAAGTGGGCGTTTCCTTTAAGTAATACAATTTTAGACTTCACCTCCATGTTAAGATGATTGGCTAAGCAAAAGGTTTTGTAAAGGAGAACCTAAGAAAAGCAATTAGTGTTGGATGAATGGCCCACATGTTCTGCTTGTGAGGCGTCACTTGCAGTAGATGAATGAAATGCAGATTACTGCTTTTTGAAACACACTAGCCATAGTTCTCAACTCAAATTTGGGGTTGCTGTCTTAGCACTTGGCAGGGGAGATACCATGATCACAAAGGTGGTTCACCCAGGGTGAGGTTCAATCATTGCACCCCAGTTGTGCTGACCTTTGCAAGTTCCTGACATGTGGGAATCTCACCTGCATACAGTCATTTCTGGTAGTGGGGGGACTGCGTTCATGATCTTCCCTCACTATGATATTTAAACATAATTGCAAGTTTTGACTTCTTCATCCACTAATATGCGAGTCATACAGCCTCTTTGTGTACCTGCAAGTGCATGGAAAGTTTGGAAACACGACCTCGCAACCCAAAAAGGAAGAAGCGGGTAAAGATAATGGATGTATGGATGTTTTTTTTGCAGGTCGGAGCTCCATCTTTCCTAATGAACGGGCTGCAGCTGCATCTAAACACAAGTACTAAATCAACAACAAAACCCACAAAATCACTGTTAGTAAGTAAAAATTAAAATTAACAAACCAAAAAACACCATTATCAAAGTTTCTGTCACTAAATGCTAAAACTTGCTCCACACACTATCCGTGCAGTAAAAGCTTCCAGTGCTCATCACAATGTCTTGGCTCCAAAGAAATGAGAAGCTCCTCAGGACTCCAAATGGTTTCAGATAATGAGGAAATGAAGATGATCCATTTGTAATATCTGTGAACGTATCTGAGCATTATTATCATTTACAAACAACTGACTGGGGGATTGACTTGTCTTTCTCTGGACTGAATGGTGCCAAATTTCTTATCTCACCAAAGCAGTAAAACTCTGGCTGCTCTGAGCAGACAGGCTTTCATTATTTGCCCATGATCTAGTATTTAGTGAGGTCTCTGTGTGTGTGTGTGCGTGTGTGTGTGCGTGTGTGTGTATGTGTGAGCAGAATGTGGCATTATCTGCGTTACCTCTAGCTGAAACAGACTTTGTGTTTGCGAGTCTGTGTGCACATGCATCAATATAGATGTATCTGTACTGAGCCCATCCAGGGATTCACTGTACAAAAACTGAGCATAAATACCACAAGATTGCACAACACAAAGCAGAACCAGCAGACCACACATCTCCATTCTTCTCCTTCATCCCAGCCATTCTCGTCATCGCTCCATCCACACGTGTCAGTTCAGGTTTTAAAGACTCACTAAAGCCAATCTTTCAACATCTTTCTCAGAGAAGTCCTCAAAATGACCCAAAACATTCCCTTGAAACTTCGCTCAAGTCTCTCAGTCCTTTTACTTGAATTCTGAGCATATTCAGAACATTTGGGCTTCAGATTTTCTGTTAAAATAGTCACTGTGCAGTTTCTACTAATGCCCAGAATAGTTGACTGAAATGAGCAAATCAATGACAAGTACTAACGTTAACAGTGTTTAGTTACAGTAAGTGAAATAATGTAAACAGTAGAACTATAACCTGGGTGGGAGGGACTGGAACCCTGGAGAGCAAGGATGACATTATTTGTGTGGGGATAAGTTGGTTTGTAGATGGTTGTCTCTTGTAGCTTACTTTTGGAGAAGAAGGTATTCTTATAGAGATGAGGGTCCAGTGGTTCCAGTAGTAGACCAGGGAGGTGCCAGTGGGATTGCAGGTGGGCAAGTGGGGAAGGCAAGGAGCAGCTGAAGAGAGCAACAGTAGGTCCACAAGAGAAACAAGGAGGTCCAGGGCATAGGAGGAACACAGGAGGATGCTGAAATATGCAGGGGCAAGGAATTAGTTTAGCAATAAATGCTAGGAACACAAATGTGGCCAAGAACACAACTACCAGAAGGCAGGCAATGCACCAGCGTTGGTGAGAAGTTACCACTGTCATTTATATACAGCTCATCAGGGTAGTGATCTGCAGGTGTGCATCTGTTGGCGTCACCTGGCGCACAGGAGCTGTAGGGAGAAAACCCTAGAACTTCAGTCAGTCACACATTGCGGACATCTCAGTCTTGTCTCGGTTGAGTTTCTGTAATTCTAGAGCTCCGGGACTGGATTTGACTCCTGCAGGAGCTCTTCTGACCAACAACATCCTGATCTGTGTGTTTTCAGTTACTTGAGTTTATTTTTAGATTTATTCCCTTTGTGATCATTGTTAGTTTATCTGTGTTTTTCCTGTCATCATTTCAGTCCTCCTCAGTTTAGCTCTATCTTCCCACGCCCACCTGTTCCTGTTTCATTCAGCACAGGTTTCTCCAATTTCCTCATCAGCTTGATCCTTTAGACAAAAAAACGGTCTTTCTGCATAATCCAATCAGTTCTGCATTGTTGGTTTCCACACCTCAGTCGTAGTCTTTACCTCGAGTTGTTTTCTCTTGCGTTCTGGGAGTTTGCTACCCTGTTAGCATTTTTTAAATTAATTTATTTACTTTTTCATTTTATTTTAAGTTCCTGGTTTGTAGTATATGTTTTGGGTCCAAAAAACAGTCACCGTGATACATCTGAGACTGCAGCCCTGAATGTCCAGGTTCTAAAAACCATGCTGATAGTATTTAAATATTTAAAAATGGTCCAAATCTGCAGATCTTCACTCCACTCAGACTTCAGAGACTGTTCCCCCAAACTTTCATTGACTTATCTTATATTTCAGCTCAGATTTTATATTTTGAACTTGTCATTTGTCCTCCATAAAACCATGCAGAAACATAAAAATTAACTTGGGAAAATCAGAGCCTTTTCTTTTACACAGCGACTCTTTGCATGAGACTTACTTTTCAGTCTGTGTTTTTTTCTGTCTGCCACTCTAACTTACAATCTTGATTCTTTGTAACACATTTTAGACTAATTTAGATTTTTTTTCTCCCTTACTAACACAATGTCATGTTGCAGTTATGGGCTGCAGCTTCATCAGCACATGCAGAAATGTAATTTGTCATAAACACAGTCAGTGAACATGGTTTATATGAAGCCTTCTCTTCTTTAGATGTGTTCTTTGTCTCCCCTTACATGAATCTAATCTTCCACATCACAAAAAAAAACAGTTTCATGAAAGCAGGAGGGACCTGATAACTTCTGTCTGTTCTTTGCTTTCACAACATGCAGTCTACGAGCACGGCCGCTGCCCTCTAACTAGACCAATATTTTCTCCTCAGAGAATTGCAATTTACTGCCTGTACCCTTTATGGAGACGTCCCGGATGACAACAAAAACACACACTTGCAAATAAAACATGCACACAACAAGAGTGCTGGGCTTCAAAATGCTAATTCAGACACATAAGCCGGGTGTAAATCCAAGCCTCATTGTGCATTCAGCACATTAACTGTATTTTGCAGCGGTGAGCCCCTTATTCAATTGAACTGCCATCCATCCTGGCTGGAGCTTTGAGCAGGCACGTACCCAGAGCTCCCACAGGAACCTTAAGACTCTCTCAAACAGACAGGGTGTGTGTGCGTGCACATCAACAGTGTATTGTGACAAAACCCATTAGAACCATTATGGCTTGATGTAGTTCTCTGCGGGGTTGTTATTATCAGCTGAGGTATGCCAAAATATCACTTCAGGGAGGGTGGTGTGTGTGTGTGTATGCGTGTGTGCATTTGTTGCTGTTTCTCTCTGAAGATAACTGTCAGTGTTTGGGTTATAAACACATATTTGATCTATAATGTTATAAAAACTTCTGTCGTCAAATGAGGACCGATGAAAAAATATACACAGAATAGGAGAACAGTGTTTCTTGAGCGTGTTCCTGTTTGCTCTGCATGTTTACCAGATCCAACACTCTGGATTTTAGGAGCTCAACCAGGGTTCTTAGACTTAGGGACTCAAAATCCCTCCACACACACAAAACTTTGGTATCAACTATTAACAAGTCAAAAACAAGATAATTAGACATCATAATATAAAGTATGATGAAAAGCTACAATGTAGCGAGAGCCCAGACTATGAGTGGTTCAAGTAAACCGTTGTAGGGTTTCAGCTCTTTTCAGGTTCCTGAGTCCAGGGTGGTGCCAGTAAGCAACAGCTGGAGACCATCTAACTAAAGAGCACGAGCGGTATAAGAGTCTGCAGAAGATCTCCATTCCCTGCTGGAGCATTATATACCAACCAGTATTTGTGCCTCCAGCCTTCTAGTGTTATTATAGCCAAAAAGAGCACTTACCTTTGTGTTCTTCTTGTGATCTTTCAGACCTTGCTTCCTGAGCCTGCACCCCTGGACCAACCAACCTGAGTCCTCCATGGCCTGTACCTATTGGTGGATCCTACGTTGACTCTCTTACAGCTAATCCTCCACCATCCACCCACTTGCCACCTGTTTACTTCTCCCAGCCACTCCACTCATCAAGCCCAAACCGATCCTTGTTGTAAATCCTCTGTTCTCCTCAACGTCTCTACTTGCTCACCTTCCTGTAAGGAACCAACATCAATATACTTACCATCTCCTATCCACAGAGAAACTGACCCTTCTCCTCCATCCCCAGGATGTCCAGGTCCCTGTTGTGAACATAGCACTATATTCACTGTAATGGATCACTTTTTGTTCTTTAAGAGTTTGAGTCCTGTTTTCCCTCAGTCTATATTCTCTGGGTATTCACTCTTGTGATAACCAAGATCTTGGGTCTACATGGAAAGAACTTAAAATACAAGAGCAGTGAAGAATATTTTGAAACGCCCCATGGAATCTGAGATGGACAGCATCGGACCTGATTACCAGAGTCTAATGTCTGTAAGCTGCAGTAGTGGTCTCTGTAGAATCTGCAAGAAACATAAGACACAAACTGAGGACATCATCAGACAATAAGTTTAACATTCGGTGGTAAACTCCTCCATGTTAACCTGTGGCTGTGTTAAACAGAACTTCATTCCAACTTCCTGTGACCTGTTTAAACTTTGAATGATGGTTCTGCTATGAAGTCTGAACTGGAGATCCAAGCAGGACTGGGTTTACCACCCACTCCTAAACACCACTGATTACAGGGACAGTTTTCACTGTTAGTCATTGAAATTTGACACATTAGGGCTTCTGCAAGATGTGCTGAAATTTCAAGTCAAGGTTCTTGTCATTCGCACCACATGTGGTACATGTGGTGGAACGAAATTGTGAACACAGGGTCCCAGTTACATCCAACAACAGTATAAATTGTAAAGAAAAACAGCAAGATCTTAGATATTAACTAAGAAATACGCTAAAACTAAGAATACACTAGCACAAATAGTACCAAAACAAATGTTCTCATTTTTGCAGCTGCCCATTGAAAATGACATGTTTA